AGAGAAGACATTACATTTGTGGAGCCTAGAGTTAAATCGGGAAGGGATATATGAACAAAATAATTCTGCAGGTAATATTTAAAATCTGTGCTGTAAATTATCAAATGAAAGCATGGCTTTTATAAAGGAGAGCCTGGTCTAGCCCCTGTGTTAGAGGGGGAAGGGGCAGCAAGGAAGTCTTCCTTAGGAACTGAAGTCTGAACTGCGCCGTGGGTGATCCTGCTTCATCAAGGAAACGGGGAGGAGGGTGTGGGACGAGGGAGGAGCACCTGGGGAGAAGGATGGACACCCTTGGGCCCTGCAGTGAGAGCACAAATGCTGATTCTGAGCAGCTGAAAGAAGGCCGTGTGGCTGGCCTGTGTCCACGTGTTTGTTCCAACTCATCAGGAAAAAACCAGAAATTATGTTCAATATATTCTACTTCATAAGAAAGCCATTTCCACTTGGAAGTAATAAAGTTACGTTTATCGCTGAAAATACAAACTGCAATTTGGCATTGTCATTTCATACAAACACTGAAGGATCTTCTAAGTATCCGGCACTATGCTAAGTGCTGGCGATACAAATATGAGTAGGTCACAGTCTGTGCCTTTGGGGAACTGCAATAAACAATAAAGAAATCGAGTAAATGACCAGTCGCAGTTAGGTACAAGGAGCACCTTGGTGGGTGTGGTTAAAGGCCAAGGGGACGCCTAGGGAAACGACTGATTCCTTTCAAAGGGTTGAGTTACCTTGAAAATTAATCTACGTTCAGTACATCATCACCCGATGTTAGCAAGTTAATGGACTATGACTAAACTTAAGCATGAAACAAACCAGAAAATCTGAATTCTGACAGATATCGAGAGGTAATGAAATTGTTTAATGGACTTCGAAGTACACAGTCCTACTTCAGAAAACAATTCTGAGAATTAGATCAGCCCCTCTAAGCTTGGGCAACCATCCAAATAACAAGATTTGAACATAACTGGATCTTAGAATGTGCATTTGAGATTAAAACAAAATAAAGGAAACAGTGAATTAGACCAGACTGTACATACAAGTCAGGATCAAACAGAAAGGTAAAAAAAAGCCAACGTAAGTTTATTTTGTTTTTTTTATTGAGATCCAACTAAAAGACTTGACTTTAAAAGATTTAATAGTAAGAACTAAAATCAGCCTTTTCATTCACTGTAGTTGATAAGATCATCAATAAACAAAACCCAGAGGCTTGGACCTTAGGTTAGTTCTGCCAGTGATCAACTGTGGGAAGACAGAAATCACATGGTTTCTCTGAGTCTCAGCCCTCTCATTGTGAAATAAAATAATTTCATCAGTAATGTCCAATAATTCTAAAATAGTCTTTCCAGAAAACTATCCACCACTGTATCATTTTCACTGATTTCAGTATTAGCTAGCTGTAATTGTAAAAATTCTGGAGAAGGCAAAGACATTTTGCCAACAATTTGCCTGGCCACAATACATCAGATTTCACAAACAATACTTTGAATTTTCCCAAGATGAGTTGACAAATGTACTGTTGTTGTTGTTTAGTTTCTAAGTCATGTCCAACTCTTGGCAACCCCATGGACTGAAGCCCACCAGGCTCCTCTGTCCATGGGGTTTCCCAGGGAAGAATACAGAAGCACCATTTCCTTCTCCAGGGGATCTTCCCAACCCAGGTATCAAACCTGTGACTCCTGCATTGGCAGGTGGATTCTTTACCATCTGAGCCATCAGGAAATCCCAGCAAATGTATAATGCCTGATAATTATGAAGCTATGAGGTTGATGTAGTTCTGGAGTCTAGTGAAATCTCGTGGCTTTATCAACTAGGAAACACACACTTTCAACCAGATTGAATCTTTTTGATGAAGTCTGTATCTTTCCCTTGGATAAAAGAAACAATAAAATAATCACCCAAATGTAATGTCAGGTATCACTGTACCAGTAGTAGGAAGATAAATGGAACTTGCATATACTATTTCTGTTGTAGGACATACCTCTTCTCACCTCAGTCATTTTCCCTTAGTGTTTTTGCTTAAAGTGAAATAAGGAATTGCAATATGTATGCCAAAGAGGAGTGTGACAGCTTAAAAATATGGGACACAGTTTTGTCACTTGATCCAAAAAGTGACATAGTAATTATATGTAACGCAGCATAATAATTCTAAATGTAATTGCAGTGCAATTTTGCTGACATGCATTCACTATCCTTCCCCATCATTATTATGCACAGATAACCTTACCTTGTTTTGCAAGTTCACCACCATCTCCTTAGGGCTTCCCAGGTGGCGCTAATGGTAAGGAATCCACCTGTCAATGCAGAAGACTAAGAGACGTGGGTTCAGTCCCTGGGTTGGGAAGATCCCCTGGAGGAGGAAATGGCAGCCCACTGCAGTATTCTTGCCTGGGAAATCCCATGGACAGAGGAGCTTGGCAGGCTACAGTCCATGGGCTCTTAAAGAGTCTGAAGCAACTTAGCACACACTCATTATCTCCTCGAGGTGAAAATTTTTCAAATATGTAGATTCACTTTTAAGTATATGCAGCCTACCAAACCTATCTTATCACAGGACCTCAACATACGAGTATTAGCAACAGCAATACGCATATTTATGCAAATACCTAATGTCCTAGAAAGAATGACAAGGAAGGGATATCGTTTTCATAACTTTTTGTAATGTAACTTTTTATAACACAGAGTAGTTTATCTGCCTTTTTCCCATGCCATGTCCTCTGTAGTCAGTGAGAAAGTCCACATCATAAATGATGTAAGAGGTTTGCAAATGTGACTGAGATGACTGTTTTAAAAAACAGCTGTTTTTTAAAACAATTATGAAATGATGGGGGAACTTTACTTATCTATTTTTGGTTGCACTGGAACCCAGGCAGATTTTTACAGGAAAGAGCATCTGCACCACACTTATTATTAAGACCAGCAGACCCAGTCCCTCTGAGCTCCGGCAAGTCTGGTGGACAAGCACGACCTCACCCCTTTTCCTACCCGGATCCACACCTGCTCCATAACACGTCATGTTAATGTGATATAAGCAGATGCTATACCCTTTGACAAACTCAAAACAAAATTAAAATGTATGGAAATTCATATTTTATATAAAGATGAAAAAAATGGATGATGGATATAAGAGTTCATTGAGTTCTGTGATTGTTAATTTTATGTGTCAGCTTAGTTAGATGATGGTGCCCGGCTGCTTGATCAAACAGTAGCCTTAAAACTGCTCTAAAGGCATTTTGATGTGTCAGTGTTTACAATCAGCAGACTATCAGTAAGGTAGATTATCCCACAGTATGAAGGGGTGGGCCTCATTGAAGGACTTAAAGAACAAAACAGGGTTTTCTGAAGAAGAAAGAACCCTCCCCTAGACTGCACCATAGAAATTCTACCCAAGTCTCCAGCACTCAGAGTCAAGACCTCAACATCAGCTGTTATCTGAATCTCCAGCTGCAGGCTTGCCCCACAGATTTCAAACTTAACAGCCTTTCAAACAACAGCATGAGCCAATTCCTTAAAACCTCTCCCTCAATCAATCAATCAATCAACCTCAGTCTCTCTCTCTGTACACACACACACACACACACAAATCCTATTGATTCTCTGGAGAATCCTAACTAATACACATTGATCCAGAATATTAAATGTTAAGTATTCTCTTTGGAAAACAGATTTTTTTTTTTTTGGCCCTGTTAATGACACCACTAAATTCTGTACCAACCCTTAGTTTTAAGCTTAGGATAAACACTCTCTTATGAAAAACTTCATGCAACCAGCTGAGAATAAAGTTGACATATTGAGCTCATGTACTTTTAAAAATTAGATTTATGTGCTAAATATTGGGTACTTCGTACAGAAACTAAGTTTATATACTTTCTATAGAAAAAGTAGTATGAAAACATGAAAGAAGCTGGGCAATCATGATTCCCAGTTAACAGCATAGGACTCTCCTTCTGCGGAATATCATACACAACAGTTTCATCATTTTGTAGAAATACAGTAACATAATAGCAGCACTAGTGGTCAAGAACCTGCCTGCAAATGCAGGAGACATAAGAGATGTGGGTTCGATCCCTGGGTCAGGAAGATCCCCTGGAGGAGGCCACGGCAACCCACTCCAGTATTCTTGCCTGGAGAATCCCATGGACAGAGGAGCCTGGTGGGCCACAGTCTACAGGGTCAGAGTTGGACATGACTGAAATGACTTAGCACACAATCATATTCTTACGTATGACAATGGCAAAAATGTTTTAAAATCAGGGTGTATATTACAATGTTTTCCATTGTAAGACTAGTTTTACATCAGTTAAACTCTCATGGAGCAGTTCTTCCTGATGTGTGTGTATCAATCGTGTCCGACTCTTTGCGACCCCATGGACTGTAGCCTGCAGGCAAGAATACTGAAGTGGATTGCCATGCCCCTCTCCAGGGGATCTCCCCAACCCAGGGACTGAACCTGGTCTCCCGCATTGCAGGCATATTCTTTACCATTTGAGTTACCCGGGAAGCCCATCTTCCTGATGAATACCATTATTTTCATATTAGAAAACAAACACACTTATAAAAAATTATCATGATAAGCAACAAGCAAATGGGCTTTGATTCTGGACGAAAGTTGCATTTTATTAAGATTATAAATGGTATTTTAAAAGTGACATCTTGGGAATTCCCTGGCAGTCCAGTGGAGAATACTTCACCTTTCAAAGCTGCAGGTGTGGGTCCAATCCCTGGTCGGGGAACTAAGATCCCACATGCCCCGTGGCCAAACAAACATACAACAGAAGCAATACTGTAACAAATTCAATAAAGATTGTAAAAAAAAAAAAGTCCACATCAAAGATAAATAAATAAATAAAAATGACATCTTATTTATTATTTTATATATAACTGCTATCAAAAACACATTGAAATTATAAATTATTTTTTGATTGCCCACAAAGCTGCTGTGGGGGGAATGTTTCAGAAAGACCGCCCTTCTGGAGGCGCCCTGAGGACCCACTACTTACTCACTGCAGAGTCATAGGAGGTGGAGTTGTGCTCGCCTCTCAGGAAGGGGTATGGCGACAGGTAAGCGTGGGTGCAGTTCTTCCATGGGGGCTGATTGGCTGGGAAGGAAGGCAAGACAGAGGTATTTGTTACTGAGAGGCTACATGAAGACTTGTTCTCAGTAGAAGAGAAATACAGGCTGTGGGTGGTACACAAGCAAAATAAAACTACAGATCAACAATCTCAGAGAATTATTGAATAGGGACGAACCTCCTTAAAAGTCTCATATGGAATAGCACAGGAGACCTGGAAAGTGGATTCATCTAAAACATCTAGCTCATGACCTAATCCAGTGGAGAGAATGCCCTTAATATCACCTACAATTGAACTCACCAGATTTCATTCATTTTTACAACAGTATTCTCCAGTTCCTAACATAATGCTCAGAACAGAAAAAAAAAAAAGTTGTTGTTTAAAAATCTAATAAATTTAGATCTAACTATGATTGCTTCTAACTAATGCAAAATTTCTTCCATATTCTACTTTCAGGGAAAAGATGTAGATGATAGACCATACAAGTTAATGATTATAGTTTATTTTTAGCATTTGAAGAAACCACAAGAAAGAACTTTAATGTTGTTTGAAATCTTGATGATTTCATCACATACCCTTTAAGGAGTAAAATATTTTTTCCTTCTCTAAGTCTTGGCAAACTCTTCCTCTTGCAAAGTCTGACTTACTTCACGTCACCAAAGCCTAGATAATTTTCATCAGCAGATCACATGCTTATTCTCCTCCCCCAAATGACAATCATAAACTCTATGAAATATGTCTCTCAAAATGCCATTTCATCACGACTTTGTTTCTTTTAATATATGCCAACTTACTATTGACCTGTCTTCTGTGATCTCAAGTTTTTATGATATACTCCATAATCATGACTTGTTTAAATGCCATACTTTGATTTATCACAGGAGTAGTTTTGATAAGAAGCCTAATAATTTCAACCCACAGTAAGTCAGAAGGTAATAAACAGTTCTTTCATTGTTGGATGCAATAAGATAAAGGCTAGCTATTTTCAGTGAATTGATTTTCAAAGATTAACAACAATATAGAAAATACGGTTGAAAGAATGCAACTGTATTTTTTAAGGAGCTATTCTATTTCAAAAAAGAACTTTAAAGACTTTGTAAGAGAGTGGAAACATCAAAAGTAAAGCATTTCTTGATATTGCCCACAAACTTGGTTTAAGCCTTAATAGAGCAAGCTTTCATCTGTCACTGCTCATAATTGTTTTGTTATAAAAAGATTTTTTTTAATTTTGAAGCTGTTACTATAAAATAGTACATCTCTAATTCTGAATTTTTAAATTTGTGATTTCAAGGATTTATAGCCCCCAAAATAAAAACATTTATTTGCAACATAGCAATAACAGACACTCCAAAAACATACTATAGATAACATTTGCTTGTTAAGGATGATGTATTTTAAATGTGAGCAAAGAAATAGTAGATTGTCCAATTCTGCCATAAATACTGACTGCAATTTTATGTTAGAAAATAGAATAATTATTTCTATAGCCAATTCTGTTTACTGAAAAGGAATCAGTAACCTTTGAAAGGAACCTTTGAAAAATACCCCATTGAGATTCCACAGCTAAGAATCCACTCCTGTTTTGTAAGTGACGTGCACCAAAATAAGAAACTATTCTTTTTTATTGACAAGCCAGGTGTTGGGGTTGGGGGGGAAATAAATCTGAATTGCACTTACTGTACCAGAACTGCCAGATATTGGAATCATTCTCTCCCACAATCCCATTAAACCAACATCTCCAGAAGAATCCTTCATGGTGGAAAGTGACGTTTTCTATCTGTACAGAACACAAATGAAGTAACTGGTATCAATACAAGGAACACAATCTGAATAATTACATCTGGGAAATTTTTTAAGCAACATATTGTTTCCCAAATAATAATGGTCATTAGCTTTCTACATATCTCTTCTGAGAAGAAATAGACATTCCACTGCTATTTTTGGATTCTCAGAAGATATGTAAGGCTATCCTCATTACCACCAAGTACGACAACATTTTGAAGAAGAAACGCACATTTTGTTCACCTGAACACTTTCCCACTTCAGTCGCGAGAAGCCAGTAATCTGATCCAAAAGCCACCAGAAAGAGTAAAACCCCCAGAGCACCAAAGAGAGCCCCAAAGAAGATGGCGATATTTAGTCTCATTTTCAATTCACTGGTTTCTGTTGAAATAAAATAAGAAAATAAATGAGAGTGGACACCCAGATCCTCAATTGAAAAAAACAAAAAGAATAAAGACTTCTGAGCAGGCAGGATCTTCTTGAGCAGCGTCTCTTAGTTGGTGTTTCAGCGGAGTCCCACTCACATGGGTGGTGGATTCTTGCTGCCTTTGCGCTCCCCTGGAGGGCCTCCAGCCCGGCAGCTGAGAATGGCAGGCTATTTTAGGACACTGACTGAGGAGTTGCCTCTCTCCCCAGGGGATCAAAAAATAGTTGACCTTCCCCTGATGGTGGAGGGGGTAGTATCAGGAACTGGCCAGAATCATCCTTATTGCTGCGGGGTAATCCGGAGAAGTGGAAAGATGACGGAACGGTGTGAGGTCCCTGCCAGCACTGGCCCGAAGTCTTAAGTGCCTGAACAGGCTCCTCTTGATCCAGAATGACCATGATAACTCTGCAGACACTGAGGACCCTCTACAAGGATAGATACGCCACAGGTGTAAAGAACCACAAAGACCTCTCTCGGATATAACTGGGAAAAAGGCGTAAATAGTTCAGTCAAGAATCCACCTGCAGTGCGGGACACTGGCTGCAGCATAGGAGACCTGGGTTCGATCCCTGGGTCTGGAAGATCTGGAGAAGGGCATGGCAACCCACTCCAGTGTTCTTGTCTGGAGAATTCCATGGACAGAGGAGCCTGGTGAGGTCCTCTGAGGATTGCAGTTAATTTCTTTTTGGATATTTTTGGAATAGAAAATAGTGGGTCAACTGACCTAACATAACACCAAGTACAGTTCAGGTTCACAACCTAGAAATTCATAGGTATATTTAAAAGATCAAGAATATGGTAACATAAACTCTTAAAGCAGAACAAAGTACTTTTATGTAGCACATGCTATGACATCAATTGCAGTTCCCAGATCCTGTACAAGTTATTCCAAATGATCATCCCCAAAGTAGACTCATGAAAAAAGTCTCAAAAGTACATTATTTTATAGATTAAAATGAGAAAATACAGCCCACATTTTCTTTTGTTTCTTTCATTTTAAATATTCAACCTCCTTAAAATAGGGAGTCCTACTTGACACCCATACAAGTCACCGAATTGCAATTAATCTACACATTCTTCATGTCTAGCATCTCTAGTTCATTTCTTTGTTTTCACTCCATGTCTAAATATGCCAGAGAGAATTTTTTAAGTATTTGTGCAATATTTGAAAAATTTCACTGTCTCTAATGGTTACTGTCTTTTGTATTCAGTTGTAACAGTGGTCTCTGCATCTTCTGAAGAGGCATCAGACCTCTATCAGCCTCCTTCACCACTTTTGTTTGACATGGGATGGGTCCTTAGAAACGAAATCGTGTGTGTGTGTTTGCATGTGTGTGTGTTCGTGTGCATGTTCAGTCACTCAGTTGTGTCTGACTCTTTGCGATCCCATGGGCTGTAGCCCACCAGGCTCCTCTCTCCGTGGAACTTTTCAGACATGAATATTGGAATGGGTAGCCATTTCCTTCTCTAGTCATCTTCCCAGCCCAGGGATCAAACCTGCGTCTCCTGTGTCTCCTACATTGGCAGGTGGGTTCTTTACCACTGAGCCACCTGGGACGCCCCCGATAGGCAGAATAATGGGTTCCCAAAGATGTCCACACCCTAATCCTAAGCATAACCACATAATCTATGAATACATTGCCTTACATAGCAATGACCTAGATTATACAGGTTGGCTCAATCTACACACATGAACCCTTACAAGAAAAGTAGAGAATCCTTCCTGACAGTGATTAGAGAAAGAAATGTGACTCCAGAAAGAGTCAGAGACTTGCCAGTTTAAAGATGGAGGAGAGAGGCTACAAGCCAAGGAATGTGGGCAGCTTGTAGAGCATGGAAGAGTTAAAAAAAAAAAAACAGATTCTCCCCAAGAGCCTTCAGGAAGGAGTGCTGCCTACCAACACCTTGACTTTAGGAATTTCTGACCTCTGCAACTGCAGAAAAGTAAATTCGTATTGTTTTAAGCCACTAACTTTGTATTGTTACATTTTTACGGCAGCAGTAGGAAACTATTAAAGATGCTGTTCTATAGTTAATGCAATATAAGATCAAATTAAGGTGTTTTTCTTGGGGGATGGTTGGGAAGAATACATCTTCAAGAAGCGCTTATTGGGAGCTTGCGGCTGTCCAGGCATTTTATTAGATACACAGGCCCTGACCATGAGGAGTTCATGAGCTAGTGGGGAAACAATGATTCATTGGAATGAGGTGCATAGATGACTTCTGGTCACCCCAAATAATTCTCCCTGCTCACTCACACACCCCCTCCCAAGATAACAGTAATTGTGGTCATGCAGTTTTATTGTAGGTGACAATGTTGTTATTTGGAGAGGAAGAGGAATCTTTATAGGCAAAGTTTAATTCATTTTATTTATATCGTAATGGCTTATGATAAAAAAAACCTATACATTAGTACCAAATCTTTAGCATATGCATTCACAAACACACACGCATATATACAAGCAACTAGACTTTTTAAATAAGTAGAAAAGAGTGTAGGATTTTGTTATTGCTACTATTCATCTCAATTTTTATCTCTGTCACACACAAAATATCACCTTTCTGGAAGAGGTTCATCAACTATTTTTTTCACCATTTTTGGTTTATCCAAAAGTGAATAAGCATCATTATAAAAATGTATATATATATATATATACACATATATATACACACACACACGTGTGTGTGTGTGTATATGTATATCAAAGCAGCTACTAATTAACCAATCTAATTGTTTTCAACCATTCATTCATGGGCAATTATTTGAGAAAAATACTAGAGACTAGTTCTGATTTCATAAAACTTTAGTTCTGATTTCATAAAACTTAACTCCTTTAGCTCAGTTATCATTATCCTCAATGTTTATCATAGTGCTTGACATATATGGAGCACTAAAATAAAATAAAAATCTACATGTATTATGACTCTTGGCTGTGATGTAAGTACACAGCCTGAGTTATTTAACTGGTGATCCATCAGGAAGAAATAGTGCTCATCTTGCCTGTTCTTTGTGAAACCTGTAGAGAAGGATTTTAGCAGAGTCTGTGCTTCCTCTGCAGATAATCACAAACCATCTTTTAAAAAATCCACTGTCGATTCTTCTTCTGAAATAAAATAGAATTTACCATCCAGGGGTCAAAAAGTTTCTTTTTTAGAAAATTAGACCATTTGCCTTTCGTTTGAAACACCTAATTTACCACCATTCCTAAAATATTCCCAGCAATCATTCAGTTATCTCTTCCTTGAGGTCCGTCAGCACCTTAAAATGTTGTCTAAGCTCCAGCATAATTGTTAAACAGCTGCTGTGTTCCCGTGATGTGTTCACAAATTCAGACATTGGATCTTCTCCCTTTCCATCTCTTTTCTAGTGAAAGACCAGGAGATTTGGGGAGACAGACAGACCTTAGCATCGACCTCAACTCACAGTGGCTTCCTTTATAGCTCAGTCAGTAAAGGCTTTGCCTGCAGTGCAGGAAACCGGGGTTCGATTCCTGGGTTGGGAAGATCCCCTGGAGAAGGAAATGGCAACCCACTCCAGTAATCTGGCCTGGAGAATCCCATGGGCAGAGGAGCCTGGCAGGCTACAGTCCATGGGGATGCAAGAGTTGGACACAACTTAGCGACTAACCCCAACTCACAGTAATCCTGTAGTAGGACAACTCCATCACTACTGTGTGTGCCCATGCCTGTGGTGAATACTGAATCTATTTCATGTTGATACGATGATCACAGTGAACCTGCCAAGGCACAAGCCACAAGCATGGTGTCTCAGGTTCAATCCCTTGGGAGACCTCGACTGTCAGAAATGTAAATGGAGGTGAATAATAGTAACTAATATTAATGAGCATTTGCTCTGTGGCAGATACCATCCTAAGCATATTAGATGCCTTGAGTACAAATAAGTCTTCAGTTGGTAGAATACGAAATAATCTGTTTCTTGGGCAGGAAGTTCAGCATCTAAAGTCCTTCTGGGTAGGAGTTAAAGATCTTCCTGGTGGCATACAGAAGGCCAGAGGTAAGTATGGGGAGCTCTGCATGGGGTCCTCCTGACTTTCTGGAAATAATATCCCACTTAGAGTCTGCTGTCTCTGAGAGAAATTATGGCAAAAACTATTTTAAAATTAATTTCTCAATCTAAAACAGTTTTTAAATCCATCTTTTAAAATCTTGAGGATACAAAGATCATGAGCATTCCAAGGTATTGTGGTAAACTCCTCCCTTACAAATTAAATAAAACCTGACAACCAAAGGATAGATGACCATAAACAATGGAAGACTTTGCCTGTTTTGATTCGATGTCTTTTTATTTACTTAACTGTGTTTTTTTTTAACCAGTAAACACACTACAACTTAACAGAAATCCCAATTCATGTTTAATTTGTGAGTGATAAGGAGCAAAACATTTTTTCTAAGGTCATAATTCCCACTCTTGGTATTGCAATAGTCTTAATTATTTCAACATATCTACTGAAGCTAGCTAAACATTCTACAAAAAAAAAATTAATTCTGGTTCACTTTATTCTTAAAAAAAAATACAGGGATGACAATGCTCAACATCCAAAAGTGCTGAACAAATGTGTAAATAAATAAAGAAATCAAACTTTCAGAAACAGAAGTGGTTTTGTGGAGATTTGAGGGTAAATTCTTTTTTGTCTTGGAATACTATGTTATAGGTCCACAATCTTTGTCTGCCATTCCAACATTAAAAATTTCTGAAAACCAAAAGCTTTCAGCAAACCAAACCTGATTGGCATGAGGAGGCAATTAAACTATAGTATGAATTCTTATACATTTGATTGCACAAGCACAAACGGGTTTGATTACAGTGCTCACCAGGTTCCACTTGGGTGTGGTGGTGAGGGTGTTAGGTAATGTACAGTACACACATATTGCTACTTTTTCAAAATCCCCCAAATTCTGAGTTCTAAACACACCTGGCCCTAAAGGTTATGTATAAAGGTTTGTGGTCCCAAGTCCTAGACACAGACAATAGACTGAGTGATGACCCTAAAAGCAACTGTTTCCCTTTGATCACTATTTAAACAGATTTTCACTGCCCACGAACCATCACCACAGGTCTCTGTGACCCTAATGGCCTCTTAAGTCTCT